TTTTGCAGAGTCTATTAAGAAATCTCTTGTGGTGCGCAACAAGTGGCGGAAAACCATAGGAGTCCCAGTATTCACCCACGCCATTTTTATCAATGAAAAAAGCTATCCAGTGTTGTCCTGGTTTTGAAATTGGGTCTGTATTGCAAATGAGTAGGGCAGGATAATTGTTAAGTCTGCGCGGCAGAGTGTCAGCTGCAAACACGCCGACAAACAGAGGAGAGACATGTTTATCTCTTCTCATAAGCGTGTCGAGAGTGAGTCCGTCCATTTAGACGTTGTAGTCAATAATGACGTTTCTGTTCCTATCAATCTGTAGCAAATTCTCAAACTCAGCGTAACAAATCACATTAATGGGGTTAGGAAGTGGGGCTGCGAAACGGAGATCAAGTCGGAGTGTTCCGTGTCTCTGCAGGTTCCAGTGAGGCTTACTCGCTGATAAATCAGGAGAGAGATCAAAAGCGAAAATAGTGTTGCCTTTTGCGTAGTCGTTCCAACTTATATTGTTTCCCTCGTCTTTCCAGTGGATACCCGTACCACTAAAGAGTGTGTTGTAAGCCTGTGTATACAGCTCTCCGGGGAAATCAGGTGTCAGTGGTTGTGACGGGACAGGCGTACCGTCAACTTGAAGTTGTAGGTAGTTCAGATTAAAGTGCTGGAAATTAAATGGATTAAGCTTATAATCTCCGTTGAAAGCCTTATTGTCAACTAAACATATGATGATTCTTTGTGGCAATTGGTTCATAAAGAGATTGTCTATAGTCTTGTCGCGGAGCCCTTGTGTTATCGTCACCGTTTTAATATCCACACGATTCAGGGGATATTTTGCTGGAGCCTTTTCGAGCGCCTGTGCGTGACCCAAGAGAACTGAGGGAGAGATAGTGACTTTGCGAACAATAAGTTTCACTTCCAAAAGTTTTATTTTCTCTGTCCCTTTTGTCGACATGATCGTGAAAGCATCACGGTTTCTTGTCAGTTTTATTCGCAGCGTGCAGTTATTGAGAAGGAGCCGATTAGAGTTAGAAATGTCGATGTGAAGTGGGCCCAGTGTTTCAAAGATCTTACTGTTTGCAGTGCGAGAGCGACGCCATGCGAGACCCAAATTTTGCGCTCCATCCAAGGAGTCAAAGTGACCTGCTGTGTCCTCGTACCATAGGCGTTGCTGGAGATGTGTGTTTCTCGCACTTTTATCATAATTAAGTTTCGCCTCAATGTAAGCCCTATAGGGGTAAGTCATGCTGGACTGTGAAATGACAGTTCCATTAAGACTGACGTCTATTTGTGACCATTGGGCGTGTGCACCGTAATTAACTAATGTTGCATCACTGTTATCGGCCGCCGTAATGAGTGATCCATCACCGTTTACAATCTGTTCTTTTGTGTACAAGAGAAATAGAGCGGGGTCGGGATAGACGTGACCCACGCCTGGCACCTCAATTTCTACAGTGCCTGTATCAAGGCTGCTAGAAGTCGGATAAAATTCATGATCCTGACTTTTCTCTTCGCCTGTTTGAGTGACGTTGTCAACCCACAGGTCTAGATCTGAGGGCAAAGCCTCAGCAGATGATGCGTGCATGAAAGCCATTATGAAAAGTAGTCGGGAGGAGAGGTCCTCTTCTGGCGCGGTTTGGAGTTAGAATGAACCTTCCTCACTACCCCGCGTCTTTTTATAGCCCCAGACCCACTCATAGTGCTGGCCGCTCTCCGCTTAAGATTTTGAACTGCTTCACCTCCGTGTCGCATTGCGCTTTCTTTTAAATTATCCCCGCTAGCTACATCGGCTAAGATGTGACTGCCTGCCCGGGCTGCCTCTCTGCCAACGGCAACTGCACCGCTCTTTAGAACAGGGAGAACTGAACGAAATAGCCCGCCGAGCCACGAGCCAATACCATGGCCTTTCTGATATGTACTGCCAATATAGTACTGACCGCCACCGGCCTGCTTCAGATAATACTGAGAAATATGGTTTTGGTGCGCAACCATTTTTATTTTGTTGATGGGAGCTGCCTAAAGTGAACCAATAAGGTTGACGTTCCGAAATCAAATGGTACATAGCGCCCTGCATGGTCTCTTATATAGATCTCAACTGTGTCGAATGAGCGCGTGCGGAGATCGAAATAGAGAGGGTGGTCGAAGTGTACGACAGACATGCTACCGTATTGTGCCTTGATATCTACGGGGACCGTGCGAAGCAGAGGTGCTCGTGTGTGGCCAATAATTTGATCTGATAAAATGTCCATGTAGACAAACATCTGAGCGGGGACTCCTAGACTTATGTCAATCGGTTTAACTCCCAAAAAATTTTCAGCGGCAGCATACGGACCAGGGTGTTCTAGCCCTAGTTGAAGTGATAGGCGAGGTGAAAAATGCACTTTGGTTTGTTCACCCATATGGAATGGGAAAAATGTAATCCTCTGATCGGAGAGAAGCTTAAAGTATGTTTTGCTTCCGACTTCATTGTTCTCAAAGGTTCGTAGTGCATCGCTCAAGCATATGAGAAAATCAGTGACAGAGCTATAAGAACCAGGCTTGACCGCTACCGTATCGACGATACTGTCAGTCACGACAGTAATTTCATTCTCTCCCTCTACGACCTGGGCTATTGTGTTTGGGTAGTGAAGTTCTATAAGGGCTGCCTGCCATTCTCCATGCAGTTCCATGCGCTGAGAGAGCTCAGTTTTAAAATGTGAAGTTTTATTGTCTGGATAGACAGCAGGACTTGCGTTACTAGGTAGAAACGCGTAGAAATCCATCATACTAGATCTGAATCAAAAATCCAAGAGCGACTTTTTTCAGGATAACCTCTCCAGTGGACGAGGTGTTGACGATTACCCTTTTTCCCTTTTGAGCGCACTATATATGCTATGTTGAATGCCTCGGACTTCGTGACCTTCTGAAGTTCTGCCTCATAAAACGTGCCCTGAATCGGATCCTTATCGAGATCTTCCAGCCTGTACACTGGCAGCGAATGAGGAATGACCTGAACGATTTTAAATATCTCCTCACTCCAGTTCCACGTATACCCTTTCTCGAACGTTTGTTTTTCTCGACTGATTCGGACATGATCGCCAACTTTAAATTTCGTTTTCTTATTAGTGAGATTAAGTTTATGGTACAAATTATTATATACTTCTAACACACGGTCGGGCGTCACGTCAATCGGTCTCATTTTAATTGATCGATGGTAAGTGTGGTTGTAGGCTTTTACTACATCTGCAAGAAGGCCATCGACATAATTGTAATTTCCAGTGTGAGTGAATCGCTTAAACAGTTTGGACTTGATGGTGCGCTGCCAACGCTCCACCACTGAACATTTGATGTCAGGATTATGTGTGTGAATATACGTAATGTAATTGTCTTTAAGAAATTTTTGAAATGACTTATTCATGTATTCTTTTCCCTTGTCAGAAAAAAGACGAGTCGGTCTGCGTGTTGTACTTCTGAAAATAGTTTCAAATCCATTAATGATGGACTGTGCAGACTTATCTTTCAGAGGCACGGCCCAGCCAAATTTTGAAAATGTGTCAATGACACACAAAATAAAAGTGAAACCCCTGTTATCGTCCTTCAAGGACTGGAAATCTGACAAGTCTGTCTGCCAACTGTCATCAATATTATCTGCATAAGTGACATTACGAGAGAAACGACGCCTTGCCGGCTTGTGCAGTGTGTATGCATCTTCCCCTTCCAAAAACTGAACTGTTTTTTCTTTTTTCTCGCCTGTAGCATTCCATAGTTTCCATGCTGTACCATATGAGGCAGGGTGGGCAGGATCGTGGTATACTTTACCAAGATTTCCAGGCATTTCTTTTCACTTGTTTTTGTGTTTTGTTTGGTTGGCCCTTAGGTGTTTTTACCCTTTTAAATGTTGTGAAAGAACTGTTTAAAACAGGTCTAATACCAGACCCACTCTGAGTACGAGCAGAAATAATATCGGCCCTTCTATTTGAGTTCTGTATGAGTTCGAGAGGAATATTTATAGCAGCTAGTGCTTTAATGAAAGGCGAAACCCCTACTGGTTCAAAGTTTTTACGAGCTCTTGTGAGGTCTGATATAAGATCAATAATGTTAGAGTTAGGAACCGTTTGCTTGTTTATAGATACGGTACCCGTGGAGTCCCATGTGACTTTGGAGTCAGCTTGGCTTAAATAATCAAAAATTCTAAGGGCAGAGGCTTTATATGATTTCGGGAGGGCTGCCTCAAGTTGTTGACGAACCAGCTCTTCATTTTCGTGAGACTCTGTAAAATTCTCGACTGAAATTTGGAGTGGTTTGTGTCGTTCTTTTGTAAAAAAGAGATAGCGCTGTAGAGCATCATTGTAATGTTTCCATTTTTCATCGTCACTAGCGTATTTTTGTTTCATAATAAGATCCATTTCTGCGTCAAGTGAACTCGTTTGAATTTGAGCAGTGGATGGCATAGGGTCGTTCATCCTGGCCACACTCTCGTGCGGCACAAGAATCATTTTCTTGACATGATTCATTTAAAGAGACTAGGGAGGACAGATGCCACCGTGGAAAGCAAAAGAGGAAGAAATGTGCCCCCTTTTTGAATCTTTTCTTTCTTTTCCCTTAGACCTTTACCCCTTTTTGCGAGTTCTCTGATAGTTGCACGATACCTGTGAAGTTTAGATTTCTGACTTGCAGTAAGTGGAATGTTACCACTCAGCAAGTTATCACAGATCTCACAAATAGCGTAGATGATCGCTTTGTCAGAACTATTTATAATAGCCTTACGTAGGTTAGGTTTAGCTGAACGGAGGACCTGAAGCACAGCTTTACTGTGTGTCCTATCGGCAGGAGCCATTGTCAACGACTGATTCAGACCAACGCATCCATCTCCCTTTTATACTTTCCCTTGGGAATGTAAACGACTGTGGACTCGCCGGGAAAAATCAGAGTGCGCATGCGCAAATGGTCTTTCTGATTGGGCTTGAAATCAAATAGCAGGTAAGTAAAGCCGGCCCGAGTAGCGTCGTGATAAGCCTCTAGTAGGGCTCGGAAATGAGTAGGATCAACCTGCATACAGAATGTGCGCACCTGTGCCACGTCTCGACTTGTTTTGAAAATCACGATATAGTGTGTATTGAGACTTATTGGCCTTAGACCATCAGGAAAAAGACACTGACTTAAGAAATAAATACTAAGGTTTCTGTGATGGCTACCCTTAATGAAGAACTTAAGGATTTCCTTGTGGTGAGACTTAATCTCGTCCATAAAATCGTCAATCACAATAAGCTTGGGCCCTTGTCCAGTTGGGTGGTCGTCCAGGACAGGAAGTTCTTGTCTGAAATCGACCTTGTCTTTTAGCTCGTCATAAAGAGGCTGCCACTCAGAGTAATAGAAAATAATTTGTTCAAATTTTACATTGAACATTTCGTCTCTATTTTCAATGAGGCGTTTCATGAAAAATGTTTTTCCACTTCCCGTTCCACCCACCACGAGGGCAGTGCAAGGATGTTGGAATCTGAGGTCCATCGTTAAGACTGATAGACACCTTAAGCTGTGGGTTACTTTTATAGGGCCAGCCTGCTCCTCCCTTGCGCAAAGAAGCAGCTTGCTTCTTCTTCATTTCATGTCGACTTAATCAGTTGCCATGAAGCCCATGACTTCGAGGAGTCCTTGATCCTCCTCATCGGCTTCAGACCAGGCATTAAAACCGTGAGGGACTGTGTTAGCCATGTCAACCCGCCGCCTCTTCGTGTTTTTGGCCTGCCAATTTTTGGTCGTTGGGCGCGTGACCACCTTCCAAGTAGGCAGTCGGGTGATCTGGAGGGGAATGGGGACAGTTGTTTTGTCTCTTTCCCCCATTACCATTGACTTAAGCCTCTCAAAAGTAACCAGTGAGTCACAGGACTTGTTAATAGAAATTCCCCGGACTTTTATGCAAACTTTTATGTTGTTTGTATCCCCACCTACAGCGACCTTGTACGCATAATTTTTGGGACCGCCAGCAACGAACTCGGTGATGTACGAATTTGGACCATAATCTTCCTCTATTTGGTCTGTTAGATCACCCAAGTGGGTTCCAAGGCGAAGTTCTAGCTGGCCAGGCCGACTGATGTACGCCACACTGTCAGTATCGTGGTAAAGTGCGCGGTCCTTTACCTCATCCAAGTATTTGTATAGTTGAAGACGACCATGACATGTCGTAAAGGCAGCGTGTATCAGGGAGGATGTGGGTAGGGATTCCTCTGAATCCTCTACTGGCTGCCATGTGACCTGCAGTAAGGTCTCGCTAAGAGGGAGAAGGGCAGTCACGGTTTTTCGAGGGTCTGATATCAGCTCAAGCAATGCTTCATGTTCCTTGATCAGCTCTGTCTTGGGTCGAAGCGTTTTTTCTCCGAACTTCCCCCAAAAACTGTTGCACATTAGTTTGGCCAAAGTGCGCAGAGCGGGGTTCTTAATCATTTTTGCGGGATCAATGACCACCCCGTCATGTTTGAGAGTATCTTCTACAAACTTGGCTTTTAGCTCATCAGTGTCACAGTCGACAGGCCAACCACTTGCCTGTATCTTCAGGGCCATAAAGCACCTGACATACGCAGAAAGCAGCCCATCCTGTCGTGTCTCAGGATCGTACTG